AAATTTTTTAAAAATTTGACTAATAAATATTTCTTTCATCAGCAAAATACCCTTAATGAGTTATATTTGGAAGAAATTCATTGACATTTCTTTAATAAATCCATAGTTTCATAATGCACTTTTTTTTTTCTTTTTATTATGCAGTTTGATTTGAAATGAATAAAAATATATTTTTCAAAAAAAGGGACTTTTTTTTTAATATTTATTTCGTCGCGCATGTGATTGTCATGTAGATAGCCCTTGCTGTTTGGTTACTATCACATTCACAACACACATAATATTCACTTATTTCTCTTTTTCTTTAATGATTAAAACGTCCAAAACTAGCGAGAATAGTTTTTGTTTTTTTCCCCAAATGCTGGGTATTGTTTCATGTGTCCTAATAGTGGGAATATTCTATAGGTTAAAGATTTTGACGAAGTCTATGTATTTGAAAGGTTTTGGCTATGTTGAAATCGCAAGACACTTGAATATTGGTTTTGGCTATGTTGAAATCGCAAGACACTTGAATATTGGTTTTGGCTATGTTGAAATCGCAAGACACTTGAATATTGGTTTTGGTTATGTTGAATTGTAAAATACTTGAATATTGGTATAATTTGTGTTAAAATGTATTGTACTGACTTATAATTAAGCATTTAACTATTTAAGTTATATAATTGTATTAAACTAAACAATATTGACCTTTAAATAAGAAAAAGTAAGAGGTCTCATAATTTATTGGGTTAAATTCTCCATCCAAACATCTCTTTAACAATGAAATGAATGAATGGCAAGAAGAAAAATTACTTATTGACAATATTTTTTAACAATCAAGTCCTACGATATAATGTGATGTAATTTTTATTAATTTTTATATTTTGGACAAGATATAAAATATTTCTTATTCTGTTTATTTTTAATAAAATTAGTTTAATTTTTGGACTTTTCAAATATAAATATTAAATAAAAATTTCATTTATTATATAAATAATAATTAAAATTTTAATCAAATAAAAATACTTAATAAAAATTATATATAAAGAAAATAATTTTCAATTATTATTTATATAAATTATTAAATTTTTATTGAAAATTTATATCTAAAAAATTTTTAAAAAATAAAATAAATTTATTAAAAATAAATGAAGAATATATATATGCATACGTTTATCACCATACAAACATTACAATTTATAAAATTCATCGTAAACTTTTCTTTGCCAAAGAATCAAAACCCTTAAAAGGGAATCCTTAGAACAAATTCTCACCTCAAGCCTCAAAGACGTGGAAGTTACCATCATCAATTGGGCTTGGGATCAAGTCGGTCCTCGCTTACGTCCACTGATTCTAATCCATAACTTTTTCTGAATTAAATAAGTTACAAAATTAACCATTTTTAAAATATTAACTATCTAAATAATTCGGTATAAATTTTTTTTGTTAAAAATAAAAAATTTTAAATTTGAATTATATAATATACGAATAAAATGATATAAAAAATAAAAAAAAATTATTTCTCATTACATAACTAACATAAAATAAATTTATATTTTTAAATAAAAAAATACAAAATTTACATCATTATTTATATTATTTTTCTAAAACCCATGCTCGTCCAATTTTGCTATAAAAGTCCAAAAAAAATTATTTCTCATTATATAACTAACATAAAAAAAATTATATTTTTAAATAAAAAATACAAAATTTA